AAGCCCCTTATAGGAGAGGCTTAGTAAATGCTTTATAGTAAGTGGATAGAATAGAGGGAGGGATGGATGGATGGATGGATCCTGGGTTCCTGGCCTTAAGGGAAAATGGCTATAACAAGTCAGGAAATGGTGTTCGAGTGAAGGGAGGACAAAATAAACTAACTGGCTTGTACCCAGAAAAGTCACTGAGAAGGAATATAATTTTAGAGTCTTTGGGAAGAAGAAAACTTGCATCGGTTTTTAACATAATTTCTCCTAATCCATCCTCCCAGGAGTCTTGTCTGTACCTCCAGTAGAGAAAGCTGCTATTGGATAAATAAGGCTACCTGTGGAGCCCAAGAACAAGTAAGAGCTCCTGACTTTCTGAGAAGGACACAAGGCCTGTCTACCTCATTCCTGTCTGTGGGGTAGTAACCCGGAGAGGCAAGGGCTCCATTTGCCTGAAGGAGAATGGGTTGTGGGTTTCTTGGGCCACCGAACAGTCATCGTGATGACAACCTCATAATGGTCTCTTCCTGGGGCCACCCCCATGGCCCAGTGGTTAAGTTCATGTGCTCCTCTTTGGTGGCCCAGGCTTTGCTGCTCCAGATCCTGGGCACGGCCCTCCATACTGCTCATCAAGCCATGCTGTGGCAGCATCTCACATAGAAGAACTAGAATGACCTACAACTAGGATCTACAACTATGCACTGGGGCTTTGGGGAGAAAAAAGAAAAAAAAAAAGAGGAGGATTGGCAACAGATGTTAGCTCAAAGCCAGTCTTCCTCACCAAAAACAAAAAAAAGGCCACTTCCCATCATGCATGGACTATAGGGGAGTGAAAGGTAGAGGAGCTTTGGAAGTGGAGTCAGTGTGGACTTGTTTGCAGACTTTAGAGTGGCAGTGGTGAGTTCCAGGGGAGTGTATTCGGTAGCAAGAGATTTTGTCAGGTCAGCAGCCATAAGGCCCCCCACAGTCCAAATCCTTCACCCCCAGGGCATCTCAGACTGAGACTGACAACACAGAACAGTAAGAGAACAGCAAGCCATCAACCCCTCCAGTGAAAGCCGCTGCAGACCTGCAAGCAGCCAGGAGACAGCGGCCCCCAGGGACAGCTCACTGGTCTGTAGAGCAGCCGGGAACGGAAAGAGCTGGGCATGGAGGAGACTGCAGGCCCCCTCCCTGAGCAACACTGACCCAAGGGCCTCTGAGAGGAGGTTGTGCCGTTAGAGTGGTCATCAGAAAACCTCTCTGCCATTCTACTGGCCTGTGGAACTTGGGAATATCAATAGGCTCTCAACTAACTGCATGGAAAACAGCCCTGGGGCTCACTTGTATCAGGGTACCCCTGGTACATGATTTACACAGATGCCTGAAATTCCAGGCTTCTAATTTGTACATGGGCCAAGGTGGGTATGTTGGAGGGGAGGGGCCAAACATACTGTACAAAAGGAAAGCTTGATTTTGTAGATTATTCCACCGCGGTTGCCTCTCTTAAGGAGGCAGCCGAACGTGGGGTTTAGGAGTGTGGACTTGGGAGCCACATGCTAGGGCTTCAATCCAGGCCTAGTTTCTTTCAACTCTGCCACCTTGAGCCAGTCTCTTTCCCTCCTAAGTCTCTGCTTCTTCCTCTGTACAAGGGCCTAATAAAAGCCTACGTCACAGAGTTGTTAAGGAGACTAATACAAGTAATCCAAGCAAATGCTGACACACATTAAATACTCAATAAATATTAGCACACATATAAAATATGACTTGAATTATAAAATTTGAGTCATATCACATTTCTCCAAACATACACAAGATTCCTCCTTAATTGCCCATAGATAGTGGTTTGTTACAGAGTAGCCATTAGAGAGGCTGAACTGGGACACAAATCAGAAACGTAGATTATGACACACTCTTTCTTTCTAAGATACTCAAAAATCACTATTGAGCCTCTGAAGTTTTTATGGAACATCGTTTGGAAACCATTGCATTATTGGACCAAAAATAAAAGCTCTATGTCCTAAAATGTTTATGATGGTGTCAAGTACTTTACATCTGGCCCACTCATGCTAGAATAACCATAGGTAACTTTTAAAGTTGACTCCATTGAGGCCATTCCTTCTAACATTTGGTGCCTATGCAAATAGGTATGATCCTGATCCTATTTGAAGGGTATATGATTGACACTGCCAAGGAAAATAGTTAGCAGGAGACACTAGGTTAGAGGAAATAAAAATCCATTATTTAGGGTTACTATGAATAGACACAGAAGCTTTGAAAACATATATAATAGCATGTTAGTAAGATACCGAGTAAAAAATTTAAGTGCCTGTGAATTTCATATAAAAATACAAAGTTTTAACAAAGGACACAAAAAGATAAAGTAATGAGCAGGTTAGAAAACAAAGACTAAGAAATAAGCAACCACCACCAATTTGCACAGAGCTGTAAGAAAAACTGGCCAGTGTTTCTATCGAGTCAGGTTACTTACGTCATTTGAAACTACAACATGAACTATAACTCTATTTCTGTGAAAAGAAAAAAAAGCTTTGAAGGGTAGATCGCCAGGCAAAGATGACTAGAACTTAAATCTGAGTATCACTGATTTTTAAGCTTTGTGTTTTTAAAATATTACCTCTGGGTGTGGAAGTTGAGGGAAACGCCCTGGGGAAAAGTAATCGCAGGCCTTTGGGAGTTTTTCCTTCACATCTATCCTCCCCTTGGGTCCCTTCTCCTCTCCATACCTCACCCTTCGTCTCCCCCACGTAGCAAAGCGTTAGGAGGTGAATTTCATGTATTTAATTATATGAAATAATTACATGAATTACCTGTTTTGCCTGGAAGCAAAAAGACAATGGACAAGGCTATAATCAACTGGTAATGCTACGACAGCAACTCATTAAGTCAGCCCAGCATGCGTGCACAGAGATTTGCTGTTTCCAAATAAGGACTAATAAAGTTAATATCTTATATACTTAATAATATAGACTCTGTATTATTATGCTGGAAGACAATTAGGCTTAATTGGTAAGCCCTCGCGTACGTAGCCTGTCGCTTTCATATATGCAAATTATACCTTTATGGCTTAGATCTTCTCACTTTCGGTCCACACAACAGTACCATCGTGGCAAAGCAGGGTTGGGGTGAGGAGAACCTAGGCCAGAAAGAGCTGGCAGAGCAGAGGACACATGAAAACAGGCCCTGCTTTTCTGGCATTTGGAGGTCTTGGTTTAGAGTGAAAGAAGAGAAAACACTAAAGGTTACTAATGGGAAAGTGGCTCATGTTGAGACAGAAAGGGACAGGATGGGGGTGTAGAAGAGATTTTAAAAATAGGAGGGGGTTCTGGTGAGGTAGGGTGACCTGTTTTTTGACAGAAGAGGAACCTTGAAAACACTTAAGCAGGTTCCTTTGGATATTTTCAAGGGTAATTGAAATTTTTCGTGTTCTCGTCTCCCACCTTCTGCCGCTCCCTCAAAACATTTTCAGTACCCAAAATTCCTTAGATGGGGACTAAAGTTTTTTTATTCCACAATTAGAGACAAAGCTTAATAAGCAAACCGACTGGCAGAAGTAATGTGAAACTCTTTCTTACTAAAATGTTAATGGCTGACACTGGATCCATTGCTATTTTGATAGGAAGAGGAAGTAAGAGAATGGGAGGGCCTGGCAGGAGAAGTCTTCCCAGGGAAGGAAAGGAAGCATATTAAAGGATAACAACAGAAACAAGTAATATTTATTGAGTACCCATGTGCCACACTCTGCTCTGAGTGCTTTACGTGAATTAACTCACTCAATCCTCACAGCATTTTGTCTGGGGTAGGCACTGTTACTAACCCCCACTTTACAGATGAGGAAACTGAGTCACAGAGAGGTTAGGTAACTGGTCCAGGGTCACAGGAGTAGGGCCAAGGTCTGAATTCTGGCATTTCTGGCCCTCGAGTCCATTCTTTTGGCCATAGCGGAAAGAAAATTGCCTCAGAGAGAAGATGGCCCACAGAACTTCCCTGCATGGATGCTGTTGCCTGAAGCCAGGCTGCCTGCTTCCGAGGGCTCAAGACAGGAATCAGTCCCGGGCAGAAGCGTCTTATCTGGCCGCGCGCTGTGTCTCTGCTACTTAAAGCGACACCAGTGCTGGAGAGGTTATTGCATTCAGTCCTGTGGAACATTTTATACCTTCTGGGTCCCATGTGTGTCCTGCTTTGCTGCCTGAACTAGCGATCCCGTTGCAGTTATTTAAGCTCTCTGTGCCTCTGAGTCCACATTTGGAAACTGGGTTGTTTCCACTTGTCAGCTCCCTGACTCAGAGGAATGCCGACGGCTAATGGGCTGATACGTGCAAAGTGCTTAGAGGACTAACTGAACTTTTAGAGAACAGCGTGACTTGGCAGTGGGATTTAAACCGACAGAAGTGGTAGAATATTCTCCCAGGAGCTTCTTTAGATGTTCATGGTTCAGCCGCTACGGCTGCCAGAATTCTTCTCTAGACTTTTAAACTGTGCAGCTCGAATGGAAGAAGTCTGTCTGGTAGACCTGGGAGAGGCCCACATAGTCTGGGATCCTTCAAATTAGGTAGAGATAAGAACTCCTAATTCTAAATAAGAATCTTCAAGCCAGGACTTTGAAAGCCATTGCTTATCAAATAAAGATAAAAAGACCTGGACCCACTCCAAGGAAACTTTTAATCTAATAACAAACACCATACCTTAGCATTCAATTCAAATGATAGTGATCTAATTGACACCACCAAGGGCAGAGCAGATTGCAAAGCTTTTAAAAATATAATGATTTACAAAGAGATGTGGGTAAGAAGTTGCCCAAGACAAAGAGAGTGAGGCAAGAAGGAGTCTCAGCTGCGGCTCTGATTAAGGGCGAACGTGCACAAAAAGAAGTATGAAGCCAGGTTTTTTTTTTTTTAAAGAAAAATGTGTTTGATTAATCCACACTGTCTATTGGGACTTTCCTCCAGTTTTTTAAAGCATAGAAATATTAGTTACCACCCCATGTCTTCAAATAAAACAAATGAAAGCAGAAGGGTGATCACAATATTTTTAATAGATGCATTTATCAACTCGATGATTTTGCCTTCTATTCATGTCTTCTCAAGGATAGAAGCATATTTGGGGGCAGGCATGCGTCTCCAGACCTGAGAAAGGAAGCAATCATTATCAGCTAATAAATAAACATGACCAGTGGGAACCAAGTTGGAAGTTCAGGAGCAGAAATAGGGCAGATTAAAATAGTTTAGAGGGGCCAGCCTGATGGCGTAGTGGTTAAGTTCGCATGCTCTGCTTCAGTGGCCCAGGGTTCTGGGGTTCAGATCCTGGGTGCGGACCTACACACGGTTCATCAAACCATGCTGTGGTGGCATCCCACATACAAAATAGAGGAAGATTGGCACAGATGTTAGCTCAAGGCCAATCTTCCTCACCAACAAAAAGGTTTACAAAAAGAGTTTGCGAGTGACGAAAGGAAATCATATGACATGAGCAGACAGTAGATGGTCATGACCATAAGATATGAAAGAACTACAAATCCAAAACAAGGAAAATGAGAGACAGTTTTTCAGAGTGCTATCACGATTCAAACTGTTTCAAATAAAAGCTATGACAAATTTCAGAAAAATTTAGATGTAAGAGATTGGGTTTTAAGATGCTAAGCCTCCTTTTTGGCAGCGTTTTCTCATATTTGCAGACTCTTCTCTGTAAGCACTCAGGGCCCTATCTGTTCCTCACCAAAGGGAAAATAGTGATGCCGACTGCCTGGTGTGACAGCAAGCAAGGCACGCTCTTCCCGGGAGTGTTTGCCGATGAGAGCTTCACCTCCACAAGGGCAGGAACTTTCAGTCGACAGCAGGTGGGAAAGGTTTGAGAACCTTCCCAATGCCCCTTCTCCAAACTCTCACCGAAGGCACTTTCTGCATTTGCGTCTGTCTTCCTTGGTCCCATTTACGACGCTGGTTATCTGTTTTACAAACACGTCTTCGCATTGTCTTTGCCCGGATTGAAAAAGATTCCTTTCACTAAAGAACAATGGGATTTGTGTAAAGATAAGGTCATTTAGGTGAAACCGTGCTGTGATATTTTGCTGTGTCCAATCTACGTTAAGGTCGTTGAAGGCTGACTATCGAAAGCATCAGGGAGACCAGTAGTCATTCAATTGTCCCATTTCGCTGAGGAACTTTCATTGCCTTTGCTGAGAACTGGGGCGTAGGGGCTGGTGCTCCAAGTCTCTGTGCCACAGCTTGTTTACACAGAAGTAAAGGATAGCTTCCTCGCCCACATTCTGCGGGCCACCCCACCCTGCACTGGACTCAATAGGAGGAAGGGTGGAGTAGGCACACAGAGTTTTGACAATGCTCCAGGTCTTTGCACCCCAAATATTTACTGAGACAGGCAGGTAATTCTTTAGAGAGGCTCGGCCTAACCTACAAGAGCTGGCAGAAGGGCAGGAGAAGAAAGAAGTGCTCCTTCTGTTTGGTAAAGGTGTGCTCAGGGCGCCTATAATAAATGTGAAAGCAGCAATACAGAAATACAGGGTGGTCCTGGACCCTCTTCAAACTGACCCCCCATTGCAAACTCAGCTTCAGGGCCACCGGCCTGTGCCGCTCCCGCCCAGGCATTCCTGGGTCTACAGGCAGCTGCTTCCTGCTGGGAATAGTCTCTTCTCCTCCTCTCAGGTCTACCTTTGCTTCTTGAATTCCTCTCCAGCCCTCTCCACATCCCACTTCCTGTGTTAAGCCTCTCCCAGTTGTCCCAGCCCACAGTAATCACTTTGTTCTTTGGCCTCCTACACCACTCGCCTAGCACTTGGTAATTTCTGTGGCGTTTGTCTGTTTATCCGTTCAGCTCCCCACCCCCACCACGGGACTTTGCACATTAACAGTCAACCGTCACTCCCTGCCTATAAACCATGGTCTATATATTAGAGAGTTGCTTAGGCACGTCGGCCTCAGGTTCACATTTGCGTAATTTTTAACCCCAAGTGAAACATTTTCCACAGTTAACGTTTTTGAAATGTAGCAAATACTTAACATGTAATCGTTTTCACATATTACGGATTTTATTAGGAGGTATAAGGAACAGCCCTGGGCAGATCTGGGGTAAAAGAAAGAACAATTAAGTGAGGAGACTGAGAGCAGTAAAGAATGGGTTCACACAGTCCTCAATACATACTGGTATGACCAGCTGGGCCCGTTTACCTGGGACGTTGCTGGTTTTAGCACTGAAAGTCCTGTGTCCTGGGCAATCCTCAGGCTCAGGCAAACCAGCACAACTGGTCACCTACCAGGTGGCCAGTGAGTAGTTTTGACAAACAGCAAATGCAAGTTTTAAATAATGGACTGAGCCCTCTTTTTCTTCTCTCCCCTCAAATCCTGGTACCACAGGCGTCTCCCAGGACACTTCACTCTCCAATGACAAGTGGAGCAGCAGGTACTAACGTCCTATCTCCAAGAAGGAGCCCTGGGTTCTTTGACTCTCTCCACTGCAGAAGCAGTCTCAGGCCTGGGAGGACAAACGGTCAAGGGAAAAAGCTTTAAACAGAGTTCTCACAAAACAGAAACTAAAAGGAATATTCAGGACAGGAAGCAGTGACCTTGATGGCATTATTCCCAAAGGGAAGGTCAAAGGCGGAGCTGGAGGAAGGCACATGTCCAGGGTCCCCGGGAAGTCCAGCCCACACTGAGGCCCGCTCAGTGCGTTGCCAGAGCATCTGTTTTGATAATGTTCCCATGCAGTCAACCCAACTGTGACAATTCGAGTGGACAGATTAACAAGAAAGCTAGACTCTGTGGCTGTGAACACATCTGAATGGTGTAGCGTGTAGCAGAATGTAGTCATACATTCTCAACACCAAAAATCGCCTCTACCACAGAGCCAATGCAATTTGAAAACCAAAATGGACCTGGAAGAAGGATAACAACACAATCATTAATAAGGGTACACACTGAAATCAATTTGAGCTCTGTAGTTTGTATAATGGTGGGGATTTTTTCCCACAATAAAATGATAACAAAGTTAAGAATTTTAATCTGCGTAAGGTTTAACCGGGTAAACCAGACAATAAAAGCATAATTGGGAAATGAGAATGTTACTGTCTGTCTATCACTCAAGATTAGGATGGAGTTGATTTCTTTAAGTAAATATTTCTGTGACCAAAATGCTCCCATGTCCCCTGGTCCCAGTGCAGTTAAGGCAACTCGGCCAGGAGCTGAAATTGAGGGTACACGGTGCACGGATTCGATCTCACCACCAGAGGGTATTCTCTTCTCTTCCGGATTGCTGGCAAGTTTATGTAACCATAAACTAACCCTAAACCAGTCCCAGCTAAAAATGGGCCAGGCCAGATCACAGCAAAATGGATTCATTTAAAATACTTACACAAATTCCCTCTTGCCCTCCCATTTTAGAGTGCTCAGTTTCCTTCAGTTGAGAGAACCATGCTGGCTGCCAGCCAACCTACACAAACTGTAGAAAACAAATTACACCCCTACTGCCGGTCAAAACAAGAGACATTAGCCCAGGTGGCTATTTCTGATTATCCCCGGTGGAGCACGAATTTTCAGTAAGCGAGACGCACAGGGCTAGAAAGGGAGAGTAGAGGAGATTTGGGGGTAGAGATGCCTCCTGCTTGAATTTTGATCCAAACTGATTTACAACTGAAAAAGGTCCACGTCGCATTAGAGACCAGAAAGCCCAGGAAAGTTACCAGAGAGATTTTGACAACTTCCAAAGTCAGCCAGGGAGTCTGTCCCAGCCCATTCGGATACCAAGTTTAGAAAGCAAGGCCCTGGAAAGCTGCCCCAGGGAGATGCCCAAGGGAGTCAGTTTGAATCCGGCCAAATGCTAACTCTTGAAAAAGGAAGACTTTGTCCCCTCGGGCTCGCTCAGTGCCAGGAGCTCTGTCAGGGAGAAAGGCTGTGAAGTTGGGAAATATGGGATATTAGGTCATCTGCCTGAATGAAGGCAACACAAATCCACACTTCATCAACAAATAGTTTCCTTTTTTTAAAAAATGACCAAAAGTTATACTTGTTCCTTGCTAAAACTTCAAACAATACAGAGATTAAAGCAAAAAGTGAAAGACTTTCCTCCCACAGCCAGCCCACTCCCCTCAACCGCACTCCCCAGAAATACTCGCTGTTGATAATTTGCTCATTCAGGGCTTCCAATTTCCATGAATGATTAAAAAATTGATCAGGCTATCTGCCTAGCTCTCCATTTATTCATCCTATGCATCTCTCTATTGCTCATTCGGTTTGGTTTTGTTTTCATAAATAATGAGATCCTACAATATAAATTCTTCTACTTGAGTTGTTCATTCAGTATATCATTGAATTTTTTCCAAGTCTAACTCATTCTTTTTAATAGTGACACAGCGTTCCATTGTACAGATATCCCATAATTTTATTTACCCCATGCCCTGTTGGTGGACATTCATGTTGTTTCCAGTTTCTTTTTCCGTTACAAAAATGTTATAATAAAATTCTTAAGTAAAAGAAGTAGTTATTGAGCTAGCCCTAATGGCCTGATTGTTGAAATCCAGCACTCTCACCACTTGGGCAGCTTGTGTTAGTTTCCCAGTTGCAGAACCACACTACCCATCTATCAGTGGCCATGCTGTGGTGGCGGCTTATGTAGAAGAACTAGAAGGACTTACAAGTGGAATATACAATCAGGCACTGGGGCTTTGGGGAGAAAAAAAAAAAAAGAGGAAGATTGGCAACAGATGTTAGCTGAGGGCAAAATTTTCCCTACAAAAGAAGAAGAAATAATTATTAATGAATATGTTATGTTAGGGATCAGGCACTGTGCGAAGCCCTCTACAGGATATTAAGATGAATAAAATACATTTTTTGCCTACTTGGAGTTTACTCTCTAACGGGAGAGAACTATAAACATTTAACTGACGTAAGAAAAAAATGACTTAAATACTAAGTAGTTGGACAAATAACATATTCAAATAAACATCACGTTCCCTGTGCAGGGAGCAGAGAGAAAGGAGCTATCCAAGTCGGACAGTGGAGATTAGGGAAGGTTTCATGACTTGACTTCATCTACATAGAGACTTGCTTTAGTACGTCTGATGGAGGAAAGGTGAGGTGGAAGCTTGTGCTCTTAAAGTCATTCTGTTCACCATGCACAG